AATAGGGTGAATACATCTCATTACACTGATTTACTGGTAGTCTCGAAACCCTACTTTAATACGAATTTAACAAATCAGTTTCAACTAATGAGATGTAGCCTTGGGGGAGTGAAGAGGAGACAGAATTCATACAAACTACTTGTGTATCTGTGATGGGATATTTTGATCATTCTATAGCATCATTTTTCTAATAAAAAAGTAGAAACAGGTCGAGAGAGAAATGAGATAACACTTTTAGCCGATCGCTCACAATTTATTTGGTGCAATGAAGCAATCAAAAGCGTATTCTCACTCCTTAACGAGATTTTCTAAAAGGTTTGAACGTAACCATTTTTAGCCTCCTTAATATTGACATTGAGTTTGCTGAAAAACACACAAGGCGATTTTCTGGATGTGAGATTCGTGCAACTGAGCCTGAAATGGGTTCTATCGACTTCTGTAGATCTCAGCATACAAATTGAGTTAGTCTAACTTAGTAGGTTCCATAGTGAAAAGTGCAATAATAACGCTTCCTGACATGAAAATTTAATTTGCCTATTTTAGATAGTTTTATATTGTAAAAGCTTCAGGCGTCCATAAATACTGCAAATTTCTACTGATTTCACTTATAAGTAAGTTATCTTTTAGTGTGTTATGCAGAGGTTTCGTTAAAGGATCCAAAAATTCCTATACACAAACGTGTCAGGAATGAGCTTGATTGCCTCAACACAAGTGCGAACTTTGGATAAGCAAGAATTTCGAAAAGATTCGAACTGTTGGCGTAAACAACCGAGAATATTAAGTGTTGATTCAGTTTATTTAGCAATGGAAATTTTCATGAACTAACATTAATAAGCCCGCAAATTCCATTTAATTAAACTTTCTATTCAATATCAGAACATTTTCTGACACTAATTTGACTGAAATTAAAAATTTGGCTCCCTGTGAATACCATGGCCACTATAAAACTCCCCTGCACAGCTACGGACCCCAGGCATCACCTTTTTGGTATTCCATGCCTTTGGCAATTCACATTTATTGAGGTAAAATTGAATTTGCCACTGCAACAATTTATTTCCTGAGGCTGGTTAGAAACTGTATTCACCCCAAGAAGGTGATGGAAGACTGACCTTCTAATTTCCCTGCAATTGCATGAGTTGATCTTACGTTTTAATTGGATTTCTCATATCTTTGCTTTCCAAAAGGTATTCTTATCCAGCCTAAAGTGGACCGAAGTTTCGACCTCAACCAGGTTTCATCAGCACCCCCAGGGGACTCGAACTTGGGTTGTTCATTGTATAATTTTGATTCATTACCATGGCACTACACTGTCAACAATGTCCTTTGGTCAGTAAAGTTATTTGAACTTCATATTTTGAAAAAAGACATTGTTTAATAAGCAAACAAGTATTTTATATGAGATGTATGTAGGTAGTGAGATTGCGCAACGGTCACTGAACTTGGGAGAAGTGACGAGGGCACGAGGGCTAGATACTTTATGCGAATTGCCAATCTGTAGTTCAGCGAAATGATGTGTTGTTGTTGGAAAAGGAGGTGTTGATG